TCAATTTGTTTTTGGCTACTAATTTTGTTTTTGATAAAATCACTCTTTTTGTTTTTGGTTCCTAAGGGTTCTTTGTGCTAAAACTCTAATATGGGGACTATAGGTCATATATAGTTATGAAGTTTACAGATAGGGCTCTGAATAAATTTTCAAAAAACTGTTCTTCGATGAAATCCCTCAATTTGTTTTTAATCCCTAAGGGTCCACTTTTTTTGTGCCAAAAATCGAAATATTAGAACCTATAGTGTGAGGTCCGGCCTACATATCCTCATATTTAGTTTACAGATTTTACCGTTTTTTATAAAATCAGTATTTTTTTGGTCCCTAAGGGTCCAATTTTTACTTTGTGCCAATAATCAAATTACGGAAACCTATAGTGAGAGGTCCGGCCTACATTTCTCTTATTTAGTTTTCAAGTTTACCGATAGGCCTCCGAACAAAATTTTCAAAAAACTGTTTTTTGACAAAATCGCTCAATTTGTTTTTGGACCATAAGGGTTAAATTTTTTACTTTGTGCCAAAAATCGAAATACTGGGAACCTATAAAGGGAGGCCCGGTCTGCATTTCATAATATTTAGTTTTCAAGTTTACAGATAGGCCTCCGAACAAAATTTTCAAAAAACCGTTTTGGCAAAATCACTCAATTTGTAATCGAACCATCAGGTTTCAATATTTTCCTTGTGCCAAAAATCGATATATGGTAACCTATAGTGGGAGGTTCTGCCTACATATTTAGTTATCAAGTTTACAGATTTTACTTTTTTTATGAAATCACTCATTTTTTTGGTTCTTAAGGGTCCAATTTTTACTTTGTGCCAATGATCAAATTACGGAAACCTATAGAGAGAGGTCCTGCCTACATTTCCTCTTATCTAGTTTTCAAGTTTACCGATAGGCCTCCGAACAAAATTTTCAAAAAACTCTTTTTTGATAAAATTACTAATTTTGTTTTTGATAAAATCACACATTTGTTTTTGATAAAAACACTCTTTTTTTGGTCGCTAAGTGTCCAATTTTTACTTTGTGCCAATAATGAAATTACGGAAACCTACAGAGAGAGGTCCGGCCTACATTTCTTTTTATTTAGTTTTCAAGTTTACCGATAGGCCTCCGAACAAAATTTTCAAAAAACTGCTTTTTGACAAAATCACTCAATTTTTTTTGGACCATAAGTGTTAATTTTTTATTTGGTGCAAAAAATCGAAATTCTGGGAACCTATAAAGGGAGGCCCGTCCTGCATTTCATAATATTTAGTTTTCTTTCTTACCGATAGGCCTCCGAACAAGATTTTCAAAAAACTATTTTTTGACAAAATCACTCAATTGGGTTTTGGCAAAATCACAAATTTTGTTTCTGATAAAATCACTTATTTCGTTTTTGGTCCCTAAGGGTTCAATTTTTACTCACTCATTTTTAATCACTCATTTCGTTTTTTGTTCCTAAGGGTCCGGCCTACATTTTTGGCATAAAGTAAAAATTTCTATTAAAAGTAGAAATATCTTTCAAATTTCTATAAACTCAACTGAATAGTAAAATATTTCACAAAAGTAGAAATATCTTGCAAATTTATGAAAAGTCAACAGGATAGTGAAATATTTCACAAAGTCTTGCACATTACTGAGCAGTCGATTTTTAGAATATGTTTCTACGATGTTTTCTAGAAAGTCACCCAAATAGTGAAGTATTTCACAAAATCTTGCAATGTACTGAACAGTTGATTTTCTAGAAACAAAAGTAAAAATATCTTGCAAATTTAAAAAAAGTCAACTGAATAGACCCATATTTCACAAAATCTTCGAATTTTGTCAACGATTTGTTTTAGAAAGTCACCCAATAGTGAAATATTTCACAAAATCTTCCAATTTACAGAATAGTTGATATTCTAGAAAATGTCTTCCATTCAGTTTCAATTTTAAACAAGTAAGCCAATTTATCTAGGAAACTAATGGGACTAAATTCTTCAAATTTTGCACTAAGAACTTAAATATTCATCTAAACATTTTGGAGGGAAAACCGGACTTTCATCTGGTGGTGAAGGATTCTGACATTCATCTGAACATTTAGAATATAACGAGAGGACTTTCAATGGGGAACTTAGGGGAACTGGGAAACTAATAGAACTTGATTCTTAAATTTTTTAACTAATTATTTTAATATTCATCTGAACATTTTGGGGAAAAGTGCGGGCTTTCATCTGGGAAGCTTGAGCCCCCACTGAGAAACTATTAGAGCTAGAATCTTCAAATTTTACATGAAGAACTTTGACATACATAGGAAGATTTAGAGAATAACGGGCGGACTTTCAATGAGTGGCTTGGCACCACATATATGAATTAATTACTAAATTGTTAGAATCTTCAAAATAGTCTGTGTAAATTTTGTAACTGCCAAAATACACCGTGTATAGGAGTTGCCGATCGTGGTTATAGAAACAGTCTTAGATTCAGTTTCAAATTTAAAAAATACAAAGATTTCTCAAAATCTCTATAAAAAGTTGAAATATTTTGCAAATTTCTAAAAAGTGAAATATTTCACAAAATCTTGAACATTTTTCTACGATTTTTTCTAGAAAGTCACCGAAATAGTGAAATATTTCACAAAATCTTACAATTTACTGAAGAGTTGATTTTCTAGAAATAGTCTTACATTCAGATAAAAAATAAAAAAATGCAAAGCTTTCACAAAATTTCTATAAAAAGTAGAAATATCTTTCAAATATCTAAAAACTTAACTGAACAGTAATATATTTCACAAAACTATAAATATCTTGCAAATTTATGAAAAGTCAACTGGATAGTGAAATATTTCACAAAATCTTCTATGTTTGTCAACGATTTTTTCTAGAAAGTCACCAAATAGTGAAATATTTCACCAAATCTTGCAATGTACTGAACAGTTGATTTTCTAAAAACAAAAGTAGAAATATATTGCAAATTTCTAAAAAGCCAACTGAATAGAGACATATTTCACAAAATCTTATAATATTGTCAACGATTTATTTTAGAAAGTCACACAAATAGTGAAATATTTCACAAAATCTTGCAATACAAAGATTTCTCAAAATCTCTATAAAAAGTTGAAATAAAAAGTCAACTGAATAGTGAAATATTTTACAAAAGTAGTGCAAATTTCTAAAAAGTCAACTAAATAGTGATATATTTCACAAAAGAAGAAATATCTTGAAAATTTCTAAAAAGTCAGGACATTTTTCTATAAAGTTAACTGTATAGTGAAATATTTCACAAAATCTTCTAATTTTGTCAATGATTTTTTTTAGAAGGTCAACCAAATAGTGAAATATTTCACAAAATCTTGCAATGTACTGAACAGTTGATTTTCTAGAAACAAAAGTAGAAATATATTGCAAATTTCTAAAAATCCAACTGAATAGAGACATATTTCACAAAATCTTATAATATTGTCAACGATTTATCTTAGAAAGTCACACAAATAGTGAAATATTTCACAAATTTTGTCAACGATTTTTTCTAGAAAGTTAACCAAATAGTGAAGTATTTCACAAAATCTTGCAATGTACTAATGAACAGTTGATTTTCTTGAAACAAAAGTTGAAATATATTGCAAATTTCTAAAAAGCCAACTAAATACAGACATGTTTCACAAAATCTTAAAATATTGTCAACGATTTATCTTAGAAAGTCACACAAATAGTGAAATATTTCACAAAATCTTGCAATTTACTAAATAGTTCTAGAAACAGTCTTCCATTCAGTTACAAATTTGAAAAAATACAAAGATTTCTCAAAATCTCTATAAAAAGTTGAAATATCTTGCGAATTTCTAAAACGTCAACTGAATAGTGAAATATTTCAAAAAATCTTGAACATTACTGAGCAGTAGATTTTTAGGACATTATTCTACGATGTTTTCTAGAAAGTCACCCAAATACTGAAATATTTCACAAAATCCTACAATTTACTGAAGAGTTGATTTTCTAGAAATAGTCTTACATTCAGTTACAAATTAAAATAATGCAAAGATTTCAAAAAATTTCAAAAAAAATTCTAAAAACTCAACTGAATAGTGAAATATTTCACAAAAGTAGAAATATCTTGCAAATTTATGAAAAGTTAACTGGATAGTTTGTCAACGATTTTTTCTAGAAAGTCAACCAATAGTGAAATATTTCAAAAAATGTTGTAATTTACTGAATAGTTGATATTCTAGAAACAGTCTAACATTCATACAAATTAAAAAAAATACAAAGATTTCTCAAAATCTCTTTAAGAGTTGAAATATCTTGCTAATTTCTAAAAATCAACTGAATAGGGAAATATTTCACAAAATCTTGAACATTACTGAGCAGTCGATTTTTAGGACATTTTTCTTCGATTTTTTCTAGAAAATCTCCCAAATAGTGAAATATTTCACAAAATGCAAAGATTTCACAAATTTTCTATAAAAAGTAGAAATATCTTTCAAATTTCTAAAAACTCAACTGAATAGTAAAATATTTCACAAAAGTAGAAATATCTTGCAAATTTATGAAAAGTCAACTAAATAGTGAAATATTCCACAAAATCTTCTAGGTTTGTCAACGAAATTTCTAAAAATCCAACTGAATAGAGACTTATTTCACAAAATCTTTTAAGTTTGTCAACGATTTTTTCTAGAAAGTCAACCAATAGTGTGCGTAAATTGGTTCACTTTAGGTTCACAAAAAAAAAAAAACAACACAAAAAACCAAAGCCATTTATCTTAAATTATATTTCTTTATTTTAATTTTCATGAATTCAAGAACAAACAAAAATGGACTGCAAAAATTAGATATGTGTGTGTGTCAACTTATATTCAAAACATACAGAGTAGTATTTGTATTGTAGTTATAAGAGTTGCATCTACAAGTAATACAGTGTTGTATTCATTATGACTATATAAGAAAAATATTCAGTAGTAATTCAAAAAGGTTATCCGTTAAGTACAAAAAATAAATTCCAATCCACAAACATTCCGCCACCCTTTGAAAGCTTCCAGCTTTCAAATTTCCAAGAACAAAGGACATAACTTAGAGACAGGTCGTTTATATACGCCTTTAGATGTTCTCACCGTAACAACGCTCACCAATGAATCCGATCCAGAATGAGTCTGAATAACCTTAGCTATTGACCATTGAGTAGGAGGTAAATTATCGTCCTTAACTATAACAATATCCCCCACATTCAAATTAGCCAATTTATGTGACCATTTCGGCCGACGTTGTAATTGGCCTAAATATTCCAATGCCCATTTACCCCAGAACTCGTGCACCAGTCTCTGAACATAGCGCCACCTATCATTGTAGTTAATCCTTGCTGAATCTACCTTCCCATCCGTGATTGCTGACATCGATCGCAATATCAAAAAATGTGATGGAGTTAGAGGATCCATGTCACCCACAAATCTCAGGCACATTGGACGTGAATTAAGACAACTTTCCACTTGACAAAGAATAGTAACCATCTCCTCGTATGTAACAGAAGCATTTGCCAATACACGCTTCAAATGACCCTTCACAGACTTCACACCAGCCTCCCAAATACCACCAAAGTGAGGAGCAGATTGTGGCGTAAAATGCCATTTGATCTGGTTATCGCTCAGTTCCTTATTCAATCCAAATTGAGTATTGTCCTGGTTCAAATGTTGGTACAAATCTCGCAATTCTCTGTCGCAGCCAACAAAATTAGTGCCGTTGTCCGAATACATGTGCATTGGCTTCCCTCGACGTGCTATAAATCGCCGAAAAGCTGCTATAAATCCTGCTGTTGATAATTCCGTTACAAGTTCCAAATGTATTGCCTTTGTTCCAAGGCAAACAAATACTGCCAACCACGTCTTATACAATTTGGAGCCTCTCCCTTTCCATGACCGAACGTAAAATGGACCTGCGTAATCGACCCCGGTATTCATGAACGGTGAACATTGTTGCAAACGATAGTGTGGAAGAGTTGCCATTTGTTGTTGGTTATTCCCCGAAATTTCATACACCTAATACATTTATATATTGTCCGCTTTACAACATGAACTGCATTTGGAATCCAAAATCTCAATCCAATCAAATATAAAGTTTGTCTGTGACCAGCATGTAAATGTTTCTGATGATAATATCGAACATTTAGATCTGTGAGTATGTGGTTCTTGTCCAAATTCATCGGGTGTTTCTGATCATAGCTTATCTGAGCATTCTCCAATCGACCACCAACCATCATTATACCTTCCTGGTCCAAAAATGGAACGAGATCTCCCAGTCCTTTCCTATTTTGAAGCTGCCCACCTGAAGACAATGTATGTATATCGTCCCGATATGAGTCCTGCTGTGCTCGTCTTATTAATATCAATTCCGCCCTTCGCAACTCTGGTGATGTGATATGACCAATTACCCTATCCTGGCCATCAGATTTGCAATTATAAATGAATCAAAGCTGTAATACGTACCAGTTTGTTATAGTCTGAAAATTTTTCCAAAATATCCACATCGTTTTCAATAGCCACACTTATATTAAATTGCCGTCTTTCCTCCATGTTCTTATCCTTTGTCAGAGGAGATAAATAAAATTGCGGAATTTTAACTCTCCTAATTTCCTCAGGTCCGTACCACCACAGATCGTTGTCCTTTAATTCTGCCGTTGAAACACCTCTAGAATCCAAATCAGCAGGACTGCTTTTACCTGAAATATGACGCCATTTACGGGAAGGCATATGTTCAATAATGAACATATGCCTTATAGTAGTTTTTCCATCGTCTCGGATGATCCGATAACCATGTTAAAACGATCATTGAATCCGATACATCCTCTGTATCAATTTTCAGGAAATCCCGAATCTTATTCATTAGTTTCACTAATAAGTGGGCTGCACATAATTCCAGGCGCGGGATTGAAATCTGTTTTATTGGGGCAACACGTGTTTTCGAAGCAACTAAATTAGTTATTACACTTCTATCAGGCCGAACAATTCGCAAATATATCGCTGCAGCATAAGCTGATTCGGATGAGTCAGCAAATCCATGCAGTTCAGCATGCATGTTCACATCAAGTCCCATCCAGCGCGGTATTCGAAGGTTACAAATATTTCCTAAGTCCTCATAAAGTTCCATCCATTTCCTTTGCAAGTTTTCAGATAATTCCTGATCCCAATCAGCCCCATGTAACCAAAGGCTTTGCATAAAAATCTTCATCGATATTATCACCGGTGCAATCCACCCAATAGGATCGAAAATACTAGCCATTATAGATAGAGCAACTCGTTTGGTAATCTTTCCCTTTTGCGGTTCCAAGTTGACGGAAAATATAAAACAATCGGTAGAAGTATTCCAAGAAAGACCAAGTGTCTTAACTGTATCAGATATATTTATCGTAGCCTCCTTTATGAATTCCCTATCGTCCGGATCAATTGTCTCAACGAACTCTCTAGAATTAGACGACCACTTTCTCAATTTAAAACCAGCTTGAGATAAAACTGTTGTCAAGTTTTCCTTCAATGTTATAGCTGAAGATAAATTATTGGAACTTGTCATAAAATCATCCACATAAAAATTCTCATTTATAGAATCCGCAATTTCCGGTAAATGTGCATTGTCAATTGCAATCTGATGGAGTGTCCGAATGGCGAGAAATGGAGCTGCTGATGTGCAATTTCCGGTAAATGTGCATTGTCAATTGCAATCTGATGGAGTGTCCGAATGGCGAGAAATGGAGCTGCTGATGTGCCATATGTGACGGTGTTCAAATGATATTCCTTAATTGTCCTTTCGGAACTGTCCCTCCATAATACGCATTGATATTTCCTATAGTCCGGATGTATTAACACCTGCCGATACATCTTCTCTATATCCGAACAGACTCCAATTCTGTACTTGCGAAAATTCAAAATAATAGTGAAAATATCATTCTGTATGATGGGTCCGGTTAGTAGCTTATCATTGAGGGAGCAACCCGTATTTGTTTTGCAAGAACCATCAAACACGACACGTAATTTAGTTGTCGAACTTTCCGGTTTCAAAACAGCGTGGTGAGGTAAGAAATATTCACAGGCCTCAGTAATGTGTTCCTCCATATGTCTTAATGCAATAAATTCATCCATAAATCTCTTGTATTCATTTCCCAGTTCCGGACGTTGCATAAATCTCCTCTCCATGGACACCAACCTCTTAGTAGCAGAAGATTTTGATTCTCCTATCTTGATGTTCTCCTTTAATGGTAGTCGTACCATGTATCGGCCATTTTCCAATCTGGAAACATTTCGCTGATAATGCAATTCTGTTTCCGCTTCCTCATCAGAAAAAATCTTCACTGACTTCGGTACCTCCTCAACTTCCCAAAATTTTCGTAATAGTTCATCCATGTTTAGTGAAACATGCCCTGCAAAAAGATCATGCGATGGTTTATGCTCCAGACTTCCCATCATCACCCAACCAAATATCGTGTTCATTGCGATAGGTGAACCACTGGGGTGTGTGATCCTTCCTGTCAGGATGCATTGACTAAAAATATCAACGCCCATAATTATGTCGATCTTTGATGATTTATAAAACGTCTTATCTGCCAGTTCCAAATTTTGAAAATATTCCACCATTTCCCTGTCCACATCATAACTTGGAATATCCTGGGTTAACCTCGATAATATATATGCCTGAGTTCCCAACTTGACCGAGTGATTTGCAGAAATTATCTCTATTTCCACCTTGCCCTTTGTATAGTTTCGATTATCGGGACCAACACCAAATAACATTGTCCTGTCATAAGTTCTTCGTAGTCTTAAACCTTGAACGCATGCTTCTGATATTAATGTTGCCTGTGCCCCAGAATCCAGTAAAGCGCGACATAGCCTCAATTCACCATATCCATCACGAATCATGACAATCGCCGTTGGCAATAATGTCACAAAATTTGCCTTCCGATTAGGGTAATACCCCGATGAGGAGGAATATTGACTTGTCAATATTTGTTGCCGAATCCCGTCGTTGTCCTGTGGTCGTTCAGTTTCAACATTCTTCACGCGGTGCAGAAGTGTGTTATGACGTAATTTACAAATCTTGCATGAGGATCCTTTACAATCATTCACAAAATGTGATGGTTGAAGGCAATTCAGGCATAGTTTATTATCATAAACGAGTTGTATACGCTGAGGAACTTCAAATTCCTTAAACTTTTCACACTGATATATAGGGTGTTGCCGACCACAACAAAAACAATCCTGAACAGATGTTACGTAAGCACCAGACTGACCACGATTCCGATTTGTCGTCCTACCCGATTGTGCGTCAATACATTCCAATTCAAATATTCTATCCTCCAAAAACTTCAAGAAATTCTGCGTTCTCCGGACTTTTGGCGACACCAAAGTTGATTTGTTTCGGAATCTAATTTTCGCTCCAAATGAAATAGTAGAATTGAGTCCCAATGAGATACAGGTTCCTCCAATACTCTAAGCGCGTTTATACTCTCATTTACGTTATTATAGAATCGCTTGACTTCCCCAAGTTTAACCGATTTAACAGAAGGTTGGTCAAATAATAATCTAAAATACGATAATCTCACTTGATCCGATTCGTCGAATTTGCGCTTTAGTAAATCCCAAGCAATTGGATAATTATCGTTAGTCGGCCTAAGATGTTTTATCAGAATAAGTGCCTCGCCACTTAATTTTGTCTGCAAATATTCCAGCTTCTCGACATTCGATAATGAAGTCCGATTGTGAATCAATGCCTCAAATAAATCCCTAAATCGTATCCATTCAGAATATGACCCATCAAAATCCGGTATGTTTATAGTAGGTAGTCTTGGTTCCTGTGCTTGACCACTCTGTTGTACGATGGGAGATGAATGCAGATTACGGTCGTTCGCTAGTCGATCAATCAATGAAGTGAAACTATTCTGTGTCTGAGAAATTGCCTCCAACACCTGACCCATGTTACCCTCAGAATTATTATCAACCACAGTCCTATTATTATCTTCATCCCGTGAACGAGACGTGAATAACTCCTTTATAGCAAAATATTTCTCCTCAATATCACCACGATAAATATCCTCTACCCTAAGTTCATCCTCATCAATGGTCAATGCGTCAATCTTATCCTGAACAGACTCATATTGGATATAAATCTCATCCAGTTTTGCAACTCTAACTCTAATAGCATCAATAGAAATGTCCTGATTAGAACATGTGTTATATATACGTGTAATCGAACCCTTCAAAGCCTGTCGTTTGCTCTTAAGTACATCCATATTGACGGAATATTCGTTTCACAATTCGAAAATTAGATATTATCCAAAATATAATAGTGTAAGCTAATACAATCAAGAATACTCAAAGATGTGTAAATATTACAATTCCATGTACCTACTTATATGTGTACAAATAATGTTGCCAAAATTAATTATTAAAATACTTAAGTATAACATATAATAATATACTGCCTAATGTTATGCAACAACTAGTTTTAATTAAATTAATTATTAAAATACTTAAGCATAACATATTATAATAAACTGCCTAATGTTATGCAACAACTAGTATACAATATCAATAACACTAGGGTTTGTGTATTATATAACATTTTATCCAAGACATATACCTGTTCTCAATGCAGTAATTCGTAATCGTATAAATATTCACAGAAGTTAAACTGGTCAAAGCTCCCGTTCAAATAATATCCAGAATGGTGATGTTATTGTTGAAACGTAAAGATGCTTTCACGTACTTTAATATGATTATGTTAAATGTTACGCCAAAACTGTTGTCCGTTAAACGATGACTGAAGCTTTATATGATAACGTAGAATATAACTGTTGTTGTATGAATGACTGGGAATGTTCATGAGTCCCACTATATGATCATGTTAAATGCCATGCAAAACACTGTTGTCTGTAAAACGATGGCTGTTAATAAGCATAAAGCTTAATATGATAACGTTCAATTTAAAACTGATTTTCCTGTTGTTGAATTAACTTGCTGTTGTTGTTGTCGTATGAATGACTGGGAATGCAAAACACTGTTGTTGTTGTCACGCCAAAACTGTTGTCTGTTAAACGGTGACTGAAGCTTTATATGATAACGTAGAATATAACTTGTTGTTGTATGAATGACTGGGAATGTTCATGAGTCCCACTATATGATTATGTTAAATGCCATGCAAAACACTGTTGTCTGTTAAACGATGACTGTTACTAAGCATAAAGCTTAATATGATAATGTTGAATTTAAACTGATTGTCCCGTTGTTGAATTAACTTGTTGTTGTCGTATTAATCTGTTGTCCAATGTAGCATAACCATAGTTTTCCAACACTTATCAAACTGCCTTTGATGAACGTTTTCCAATTAAATTATGATGTTCGCAATAATTCATGTAGTAATCTGCAAACTATATACATATGTATGTATGTTTTCAAGTCCACTAGAAAATTGTGCAATTAGGTGCTTTCCGTGTATGATATCAATATCCGTCTCGATAGGACCAAATTGCACAATTTTCTAGTGGACTTGAAAACATACATACATACATACATATGTATATATTTCATAAAATCTCGCAATTAACTGAATAGTTAATATTCTTCAAACAGTCTTTCATTTAGTTAAAAAATTTAAAAAAATGCAAGGATTTCTCAAAATCTCTATAAAAAGTTTAAATATCTTGCAAATTTCTAAAAAGTCAACTGAAAAGTGAAATATTTCACAAAAGTAGAAATATCTGGCAAGTTTCTAAAAAGTTAACTAAATAGTGATATATTTCACAAAAGTAGAAATATTTTGCAAATTTCTAAAAAATCAGGACATTTTTCTAAAGAGTCAGCTGTATAGTGAAATATTTCACAAAATCTTCTAATGTATAATAATAAAAATATTATTGAAAATCAGTGGTTGGATATTGCAAAATAACATTATGACAAAAATCTGATACAATGTATGTATATAATTTTGAAAATTTTATCGGTGAAAATTAATTTAATGAATTGTCTATTTTTGTATTGTCATTACTCGTTTCACCTTTTTCTAATGCCGAACTTGAAAGGCTTTTTATATCAAAGGCTAAAATTAAAATTCGAAATCATATTTAAGCTGAATTTTTATGTTCAAAAACACAAATTCGAAAAGTATTGAAATTCGAAAATGCATGCTGTTACACTTAAGGCCTTAATCATAAACAAATTTTAATTTTATACAAATTTTGTATGGAAATTTAGTATTAAAAATCTTTTACAAAATAAAAAGTTGTTTATGAATATACATATAAAAAATTATATTACAAATAAAATACGATCATTTAAAAAATATCAAAATGAGGATTACGATGAAGATATAGTACTAGAAATATTGGAGTCATGCACCACATCATCAGTATTTTAATAAAAACTAGAAAAAACAAACATTTATATTGTTTTGTTAGATTAAAAAATTTTAGCTTTTTTTTCATCCGTAGAACATTTGAGCACTTAGCTTTTAAAGTTTTAGCATATTTTTAAATTAATTTTCTGGTAACACTGATTAAAATCATTAAAATGTATAAGAGCAACTGAAAAAAGACAATTCTACTCAATGCAGCAACTCTCTCATCTGTACATACATATAAATTCATATTTACCAATGATCGTAATAATTGAGTGTAATGAATTTATTATAATTATAGATAATGATCGTTAACTTTAAATTCAATATACATATTAATATTAAGCTGAACCAAAAAAAAGTCTGCAGGCGATTTATATATTCCAAATATCAGCGTTTCCAAAAATGTTGTTTGAGGTTTTCTATGGTCTTCCATCGTGAAAGACGATTTATGTTCACGTCAAGCATATTTTCTTCCTAGATACAGTTAGTAGGCTGACCTATTAAAAAATGGGCTGGAGTCAAGGCGTCCAAATCTGATGGATCCGATGACAAAGGACATAGCGGCCGTGAGTTCAGACAACTTTCTATTTGACTAAGTAGTGTTGTCAGCTCTTCAAAGCATAGAATTTTGTCGTGCATTACACGTTTTAAATGATATTTACAGATTTCACACCTGCCTCCCAAAGACCTCCAAAATTTGGCGAGGCAGGCGGAATAAAATGCCATTTCGTTCCATATGAGATTAATGAATTACGTAAGTCCTCAGGAATAGATTTTTCATTTCTATTAAAAATAATCTGAAGCTCTCTCGAGGCACCTACAAAGTTTCTACCACAATCTGAGTAGATGTCGGTACAAACACCTCTACGAGCCACAAATCTACGAAAAGCAGCTAAAAACGAATTTGTTGTGAAATCAGAAACTGTCTCCAAATGTATGGCCTTGGTTAAATAGACAGATATATCCTTTAGATACAATAGCAGATCTAATAGTTGAATTTTTCACAGAAATG